GTTATTATTGTTATTATTGTTGTTGTTGTTGTTATTATTATTATTATTGTTGTTGTTGTTGTTTTGTTTTGTTTTGTTTTGTTTTGTTTTGTTATTATTGTTGTTGTTGTTGTCATTGTTGTCGGTGTCATTGTCGTTGTCGTTGTTGTCGTTGTCATTATCGTTATTATTGTTATTATTGTTGTTGTTATTGTTATTGTTATTGTTATTATAGGTGCTTGCCCATATTGCTGAACCTATTTGAGGTTTGGCATCTTTAATAGCCACTGTAAACCTCAGACTAAAATCCAGATCACACTCACTTTCCTTGTAAACTTGGGAGTCACCAGCCTCCACTGCTTTAGGCAGGAGTCTTCCCAGACCGACTCTGAGAGAACAAGACCCCAATCTTTTTATGCTTTATCCTTGCAGAAAACACTGCACTATCTCTTGCCCTTGACAAGGAACCTAAGCGGTGTTGTTTTCTGTATCTGGTTTTTCATATAAATACTAACCAGACACAGTTTGGAGAATAGTTTTGGGAAAATGTGGCCAGAGAGTGAAGGAGAGACATTTTAAAGTGTGATGAAACTGGGCAAAGCAAGAGAAAGGCTGGACTAACATAATAATTAGAAATCAGAATTTGGAGCCCTAGTTATTTGAAGGAATGTCTCTTCTTATGGTTGTTGTGGGGTTTTCGGGCTCTTTGTCCATGTTCTGAAGGTTGTTCTTCTTAACATTTCATCAGTCTCTGTGGCCGACATCTTCAGAGGACAGCACTCTGTGCTCTGGTGTGGTTTGCTTGGGAGTGGAATATTTATGGCTGTGAGATAAGCTTTTGTCCTGTTCAGGAGATGGGTAATTAGTATGTCTTCTTGTGGGTGCATTGTTGTGATAAGGAGGAGAGAAATGGGTACAACCTGATTCCAGGACAGGTAGCTCAGGCTGGAGAGTAACCAGAACCAGATTTTGTGCTTAAAAAGCATGTCATAATCAAGGTCCGAAGCAGCAATACTGGGCAGGGGAAAAGGACTGTCATTGTAAAAAGGGATCAGGGTCTAGGTCAGACCTGGGCAAAGTGAGGCCCTCCAGATGTTGCTGAACTGCAAATCTCAACACTCCTCACTATTGGCTGTGTGGGCTAGGATTGCTGGGAGTTGCAGTTCAGCAACATCTGGAGGGCCACAATTTGCCCAGGTCTGATCTAGGAGGTAGAGTCTTAATGGTACAGGGACATTGTTTGGACTGAGGAGCTAGCTTTAGAGCCAGGCTTTGTAGCATCTGGCACATGGGGACTGGCCCATCAGGGTTAGGTGGTTGGTACTGTGGTGCCCTTAAAAGTTTGGACCTCTGTCCAATAGGTGCATAGGTGAATCAGAGTGCCAGTTGCTTGTGAGGTTACAGTACCAGAGTGTGATTGAGTGGAGCCCTAGTTTGAGGCCATTCTACAGTAAGTGCCTTACAATTGGTTTTCTTCTACATTTTCAGACCACTATTTTTATTTCTAGCTTGTAACAAGGAGGTTTATGAAGGACTGGATATGAAAGGAGAAAATTACAATGTAACTGATGCTGACAGTTACCAACAGTGCCAAAAAAGATGCACCAATCAGAATCACTGCTATTTTTTCACATATACCACCACGTTGTTTCATCAAGCAGGCTTGCGGTAAATGATTTTCAGATGTGTTAAAGAAACCTAGAGACTGATGAGTATGTTGGGTCTATAAATCAGCTTTAACAAACCATCATTTGATAGTTGGAAGTGAGGGTGGGTGGGAACCATGATCCCCCAGATGATGTTGGACTCCAGGTCCCATCGGCGTCATCCAGGAAGCCAGTGATCAAGAATTTTGGGAGATTCTTCCATTTGAATGGCCCTGGATTCCTTCACCCACTTATACAAGGGGGAGATGGCACAGGCCTTTGCACCCCAACAGATCATTGGATGAATTGTAACAGTTTCGACATGGTTTTTAACACTCTGTTATGCCTCACGGGCAAAGAAGGGAGCTGTTTCAATGTACCACCAAATATTTGGGCTCTGTCTCCTGTACATTTTGGGGGTTGGGGTGGGGGAATAGGCATATTTTATGATGGTTGATCTTTAATTTTTGTTGGTGTTTATTTATTGCCAGAACAATTAAGATCTTTGTGCTGCTACAATTTATTAAGCTTTACCTGCTGATGCTCTGTAGAAAGTTCCACCAACGTTTTATACACTATAGTGGATCTCTGTTATGCTATCGTGCAAAGGAATAAAGATGTCCATTCACCAGCCAGTTTTTAATTGCAGTCATTTTTCAAGCAGAACATATGCAAATAATATCCCAATACAGTAATAACTTCATAGTTTGGTGTGGTCCACACAATCAAAGGCTTTTGTGTAGTCAATGAAGCAGAAGTAGATGTTTTTCTGGAACTGTCTGGCTTTCTCCATTATCCAGCGCATGTTAGCAATTTGGTCTCTGGTTCCTCAGCCCCTTCGGAATCCAGCTTGTACTTCTGGGAGTTCTCGGTCCACATACTGCTGAAGCCTTCCTTGTAGGATTTTGAGCATAACCTTGCTAGCGTGTGAAATGAGTGCAATTGTACGGTAGTTGGAGCACTCTTTGGCAATGCCCTTCTTTGGGATTAGAATGTAGACCGATCTTTTCCAATCCTCTGGCCACTGCTGGGTTTTCCAAACTTGCTGGCATATTGAGTGTAGCACCTTAACAGCGTCATCTGTTAAGATTTTAAATAGTTCAACTGGAATGCCATCACCTCCACTGGCCTTGTTCTTAGCCATGCTTTCTACGACCCATTTGACTTCACTCTCTAGGATCTTTCTGGTATAATTCCTCTGTATATTCTTGCCACCTCTTCTTGATATATTCTGCTTCTGTGAGGTCCCTGCCATTTTTGTCCTTTATCATGTCCATCTTTGCACAAAATGTTCCTTTAGTATCTCCAGTTTTCTTGAACAGATCTTTGGTTCTTCCCTTTCTGTTCTTTTCCTCTATTTCTTTGCACTGTTCATTTAAGAAGGCCCTCTTGTCTCTCTTTGCTATTCTTTGGAAGTCTGCATTCAGTTTTCTGTAACTTTCCCTATCTCCCTTGCATTTTGTTTCCCGTCTCTTCTCTGTTATTTGTAAGGCCTTGTTGGACAGCAAATTTGCTTTCTTGCATTTCCTTTTAATTGGGATGGTTTTTGTTGCTCCCTCCTGTACAATGTTACAAGCCCCCATCCATAGTTCTTCAGGGACTCTGTCCACCAAATCAAGTTCCTTAAATCTGTTCTTCACTTCCACTGTGAATTCATAAAGGATTTGGTTTAGATTATACCTGACTAGCCCAGTGGTTTTTCCTACTTTCTTCAGTTTAAGCTTGAGTTTTGCTATAAGCAGCTGATGATGAGAGCCACAATCAGCTCCAGGTCTTGTTTTTGCTGACTGTATAGAGCTTCTCCATCTTTGGCTGCAGAGAATATAATCAATCTGATTTCAGTGTTGCCCATCTGGTGATGTCCATGTGTAGAGTCACCTCTTGTGTGGTTGGAAAAGAGTGTTTGTGGTGACCAGCTTGTTCTCTTGACAAAACTCTATTAGCCTTTGCCCTGCTTCGTTTTCAACTCCAAGGCCAAACTTACCTGTTGTTCCTTTTATTTCTTGACTCCCTACTTTAGCATTCCAACCACCTATAATAAGAAGAACATCTTTCTTTGGTGTCAGTTCTAGAAGGTGTTGTAAATCTTCATAGAATTGGTCAATTTCAGCCTCTTCAGCATCGGTGTTTGGTCCAAAAACTTGGATTACTGTGATGTTGAAAAGTCTGCCTCGGATTCGTATTGAAATCATTCTATCATTTTTGAGATTGTATCCCAGTACAGCTTTTCCCACTCTTTTGTTGACTATGAGGGCTACTCCATTTCTTCTACGGGATTCTTGCCCACAATAGTAGATATGATAATCGTCTGAATTGAATTCGCCCATTCCTGTCCATTTTAGTTCACTGATGCCCAGGATGTCAATGTTTATTCTTGCCATCACCTGTTTGACCATATCTGTGAGATACCTGGAAGCAATTAGAAGTATGGAGTGCTCTCCAGAAATTCCTACTATGCACGTGGAAAAAAAAAACATGTGGAGAGGCTGCTGCCTCCCCATCACCTGTGGATGTCCCCACAAGCTAAACTCTGCGCATGGTACAAAAAAAGACTGAACTGGAAGCTTATGCATATAAAATGACATGTATTCGCCAAACACAGTGGGGCTGATCTCCCTCCCTACCCCTCTCTCAAGGAATTATATGAGTCAGATTGGTACAATGGGTCTACTATAGTTAGAACTAGCAGTTTTAGTTTACCCAGTATCTCTCTTCTGCTGATAGAAAGATTACATTGGTCCATCCACCCGGTTTGGGATGAGCCCCTATACCCTATATTACAACTTACCCCAGTCACCAGGATCCCCCTTGACACTCTCTGCAGCATATGGGTGGGTGGGGGGTGTCCATGAGGAGTAAAGGATGGTGAAGCATCCTGACAACTTAATGCTCCATGATTAGGCTAGGTGGCAATGATGGGAACTGTAATATGACATATCTGAAGGGCATCTATCTGGGGAAAGCTGTTTCATCTACTCCTACAATAGGAACTCATCGAAGCCCCTCAAAAAGTCATATTACATGATGATTGTGTATGCATCTGTCTGTCTATCTATTTACAACATATACACAATGAATATCTATTAAAAATGCAAGGCAATGGTCCATCCACCTCTGTGATGTATTTGTGCATGTTTGTCAGTACCTGGTACCAAGAGACAATGTAGTCTCCCACAGTTCACAAATCCTGGCTAATGCTACAGTCTATGAGATTTGCTCAGTCCTGTTCTAAATTCATTTTAGCTCATAAGCATCATTGCATCTTACAGCACAAGCCATCAATCAGTCAGTCAAATTTTGGCAAGGTCAAGAAGCCTGTCTACTGAGGTTTGTAAATTTTATTCTCCTCCCCCCCCCTCCTTTTAGGCAAAAATGCTACTTGAAGTTCAGCAGCACAGGAATACCAGTCCAAATAAGGCACCTTAGAGGTGTTGTATCTGGATTTTCATTAAAGCGCTGTCGATTGTCAGAAACAGGTAAATATTATACAATAACAGAAAATATGGTGGATTGTATTTTGTGGATTGCTTAAATCAATTTAAGCCTTGTAAAGACATCCCATACAAGGTAAAAGGTAAAGGTTCCTCTTTGACATTTTTAGTCCAGTCGTGTCCGACTCTAGGGGGCGGTGCTCATCCTGTTATTCAAGCCATAGAGCCAGCGCTTGAAACAGGTAAATATTATACAATAACAGAAAATATGGTGGATTATATTTTGTGGATTGTTTAAATCAATTTAAGTCTTGTAAAGACATCCCACACAAGATGCAACCCCAAATCCTATGGGGCTAAAGAAATTATACCAGAATGATATGCCTAAAGAAATTATACAGCACGTGGACAGCATGACTAGGGAGTGCCGTTTTACCTTCCCACCGAGGTGGTACCTATTTATCTACTCGCATTTGCATGCTTTCGAACTGCTAGGTTGGCGAGGAGCTGGGACAAAGCGACGGGAGCTCACTCCCCATACAAGATGCAACCCCAAATCCTATGGGGCTAAAGAAATTATACTGGAATCATAGAATTGTAGAGCTAGGAGGGACCCCAGAGGTCATCCGATCCAACTGTGCAATGCAGGAAGTCCACAGTTACAAGATCCTTGATAGATGGTCATCAAAACTCTATTTAAAAATCTCAAATGCAGGAAAGCCTACTATTCTTTTAATCCACCATTATGCAGCTCTAGTTTTCAGGAAATTCTCCCTAGTGTTTAATAAAAAAAATCCTTTCTTGTAATTTGAATCTGCTAGTTCTGGTCTAATTCTCTGGAGCCAGAAAAAAACAAGCTTGCTCCATCTGCCACCTGACAATGCTACAAATATTTGAAGATGGCTCTCTTATCATCTCTCAGTTTTCTCTTCTCTAGGCTGTCCATGCCGACTCCCTCATTCCTCACAAAGTTTGGTTCACAGACTGTTTAGCATCCAGGGATGTTGGCATGTTTTTGGGTCAGAGTCCCAAGTCCTAAGACTCAAACCTGAGTCCCTTTTAAAAACAAGCTCGTCCCCCAGAAAAAAAAGTCTGCCACCTGACAATGCTACAAATATTTGAAGATGGCTCTCTTATCATCTCTCAGTTTTCTCTTCTCTAGGCTGTCCATGCCGACTCCCTCATTCCTCACAAAGTTTGGTTCACAGACTGTTTAGCATCCAGGGATGTCAGCATTTTTTGAGTCAGAGTCCCAAGTCCTAATACTCAAGCCTGAGTCCCTTTTAAAAACAAGCTTGTCCCCCAGAAGAAAGCAAGGTGGGTGGGTTCTGAGTCATGAGTGGAGTCTGAACCATTGTGTGTGTGGGGGAAACAAGTTGATTCCGAGTCGAGTCATTGGTGCAACTTCAGTTTGACTTGACAGAGAGTCCTGCCACTCAAGTCCTCATTCTTGTAACATCTCGGACCTTTTCTTCTGGACATGTTCCAGCTTATCTGTATTAGTATGGCCAACAATTGTCATTATGAACTGTTGGATCACTCAGTGGTTTAAGTATCTGGCTGTAGAGCCAGAGATGAGGAGTTCAATTCCCCCACTATGCCTCCTTGACAGGGGCTAGACTTGAAGAGGCATAAGGGTTCCTTATACACAGTTCTAAAATGATAATGAGGATTTCAAAAATTATTACAAAATACTTTAAAAACGTTTTTGAATTCATAACATACAGTACTTTACAACATTCATTGTTATGATAGCAATTTATTCTCACACAAGAATGCTGTTAGGCAGATGTGCGAGGTGGTCCCTATTTATCTACTTGCATTTGCATGCTTTCGAACCGCTAGGTTGGTGGGAGCTGGGACAAGCGACGGGCGCTCACTCCGTCGCATGGATTCGATCTTACGACTGCTTGGTCTTCTGACCCTGCAGCACAGGCTTCTGTGGTTTAGCCCGCAGCATAAGGGTTCCTTATACGCAGTTCTAAGATGATAATGAGGATTTCATAAATTATTACAAAATACTTTTTAAACATTTTTGAATTCATAACATACAGTACTTCACAACATTTATTGTTATGATAGCAATTTATTCTCACAAGAGTGCTGTTAGGCAGATGTGCTGGGAGAACATGACTCATATTCCTTTTATTCAGCACTGGTTAGGCCTCACCTTGAGTGTTGTGTCCAGTTCTGGGCACCACGCTTTAAGAAGGATGCTAACAAATGGAAACAAGTTCAGTGGAGGGTGACAAGGATGATCAGGAGGCTGGAAACCAAGCCTTATGAGGAAAGGCTGAGAGAATTGGGCACGTTTAGCCTTGAGAAAAGATGACTGAGGGGTGATACGATAGCACTTTTCAAATATTTGAAAGGCTGTCCTACAGATGAGGGGCAAGATCTGTTCTTGTTCACCCCAGACTGCAGGATACGCAACAATGGGGTGAAGCTAAAGGGAGCCAGATTTTGGTTGAATATCAGGCAAAACTTCCTAACTATTAGAGCACTACGACAGTGGAGTTGGTGAGTGCTCCAACACTGGAAGCATTCAAGAAAAACAGATAATCACGTGGCAGATATGCTTTGATTGTATTCCTGCACTGAGCAGAGGGTTGGACTTGATGGCCTTATAGGCCCCTTCCATCTTCACTTTTCTATGATTCTATACGAGCTGCTAAATGAGCTTCCCTGCTGTTTTGAGATTGTGTATTTACATGGCAAGGGTAAAGATATTATTATTATTATTTTGCACTACAACTCCCAGAATTTCAGAGCCACCAAGATGGTTTGATTACAGATGCTCATGAGCCCTTGTGTTTGATTTACCAGATTCTGTTTTGTACAGATTTAGGCAGAGCAGCCTGATTCTGGTTTCTCCATAATTACTACAATTCAATGTACAACCTGTTTCTCTTGAGCCTCTTGGGCTTCCCATTCTGTCAAGGAACAGAGCTGTAAGTAGCTGTATAAGCTGCCCTACACTCTCAAAACTATGCAACTGCTCTTAGGTGTGATGGAGAACCCTATCCAGTGTCCATGTTATGATCCAAAAAAGAGAGGACCCTTTCCATTGCTGACTCTATAGTGTAAACTACAAACAACAACTATTTTCCACAGGAATTCTGGCAGTACCCCTAATCTGGGAGAATTGAGGAAATCTGGATGCCACAGCATAGCTATATGTAAATTTGTGAACGATGTGATGGCTATATGGATTGTAGTAACTTTGCCCATTCATTATTTCTGCAGATTGTAGGATGGACATTTTTCAACACCAGGTATTTTCTGGCATTCACCTAACAACAGTTTTAACACCCGATGCCCATGTATGCAGAACAATTTGTACTTATCAGCCAAACTGCTTGTTTTTTACCTTTCGTGGCCCTAGATGGGAGGTAAAAAGTGAGAGGTAAGTCTGCTCATCCAGGAGCTTGAAGATGCTATGCTTTCTAAGATGATGTTTAAAAGATGGTTTGATAAGAAGCACTCAGGCTTATTGTAGAATCTTATGAAATATTGTAGGTGCGTATGTATTGTTGGTACATATGTACTGCGGCCTGCTTCCAGTTCCTCCACTGTTGCTACCACCTTGACCAGAGTTCAGCAGCGCTAACTACTGTTCTCCTCTCAGTCTGTATGGAAGTTAATTGAACTAGCAGTTGCACCTTCTTTTTACCTATATAAAACAGTACTAGATTTAAATCAACAACCAATAGTTCTTTATAGGGCAACTTGGCAGGTGGGGCATCACCCCCAAACTTAGAGGTGAATCCCCTGCCTCTGACACCACAACCTGCCCATGGGTATTTATTAAAACCGATTAGGACACTAGCTAGTATTTGACTTTAAAGAACTAAAATAGGTTACTCCCACCACCACATGCCTTGGTTGGTAATATAACCACATAGGCCCAAGGTTGTTCAGATCTCTGTAGAAAGATAGAAAATGTTGCACCTGCAGCTCCCAGAATTCCATATCCAACACTATCACTATGATGTTGGCTTAGGATTCAGAAAGAGCTAGGGATAGAGGAGAAGACAATAGGCTTCTCCTGAATGTGATTGTTATGTAAAGTCACATCTGAGTTATGCTGACCAAGTCATGTGAGATATTTAAGAAGAGGTTTCACCATTGCCATTCCCCAGCGAGTTTCCATGGCTGAGTGAGGATTTGAACCCATGTCTCCTGAATTCTCATCCATCAGTCCATTTGCTGTACCACACTGGATTGCATGCGATTACTTAGTACTGAGCCCACTGAGTCTCCATTCCTCCCATACATATCCGCTTAAGTACAGAATTGCAGCCAGAGTTGCTATGTATTATATACAGAACAGTCTTTTGTTTAAAGAGCTGTCCAGATTAAGTCAGAAGGAGGTGAAGGAGCATAAAGTGGGACACCAGGGACCTCAATCTACAGCGAGCAGCTGGACTGATAACCAGGTTATCTGATTACAATTCAGCTACTCTGTGCTTGAATGAACAGTATCGGAATTTTGTTTAAATAATATACATTATTGCTTATCTTGTGTACGTGAAATCTTGATATTGGTTTGTTGGTCACATCCAGAATCACATTTGACCCAAACCACTTCTTGGAAAGAATCAAGGTCATTGAATGCCACACTATGCTTTAGGATAGGACTATCTAACCACTTTTGTATAGGAACTGATTTGACCAATACAGTATGATAATGATAGTAGGAACTGTTCTATTATGTTGGTTACAGGAACAGAGGATGGGGGGGTAGGAGGGAGAGACAGCATCTGCTTTGTGTACATGTGTACCTGTGTTTGTGTATGTGGGAGATGAATTTGTTCTGATGTCACTCTAAGTAAGCCAGTCCAAACCATTATTTTGTAAGATGAGAGGGTGTGATCTGTATGTGAAGCCAAAGAGACACTGCTAATCAACATCAGCTTTGATTTTCTTGTGCTTTTGTTTTAGGTATACTTGTCTGATGATGACATCAAAAAGTGGAATGCCAGATGCATTTATAGAAGGAAGCAATGCTATGTCAGGTTTCAGTCTCCGAAACTGCCGAAAAACAACACCTGGTAATGTATAAGTTATATTTACCACAGTACCAGCAGAAACTATGAGCTCATAAACTCATCATAAATTGCCTTTGATGTATCAAATGAATGGCATTTTAACACTGCTCACAAAAATGTTGCAGCCTGTCACAATCCAACTTTTTCCAACTTGAACTTTATTGGGATGGAACTGAGTGTGGAATTTGTTAATGGGTCCAAGGCATGTCAGCAACTTTGTACAGACACCGTCCGCTGCCAGTTTTTTACTTACGTTTCCCACAAAAACCTGTGCAACCGAGAAGGGTAAGTTTTTTTCTGTTTTGTTTTTTAAAATCACCCCACAATAACTTTTTTAAAAAGGCTGATCAAGTTTATATAAGCAATCTTTCCAGCATAATTATCACCTTGATTTGTCTTTTCCCTCCAGTAAATGTAAATGTTACTTAAGAATGACCCCTAGTGGGTCTCCGTATAGCATCACATCGGAGAATGAAATGGTTTCTGGCTATTCTTTAAGACTATGTCAGACTAAAGTCAGCTCTGGTGAGTAATGTTGCCCATTCACTGTTTACTTGACTTATCTGTAAGCAACCCAATGCTAGAAACTGAATCTGGAATGATAACCTTTGGTTTACTCAAGTGTTATAATTTGTATTTCTAATCAAAATGTGTAAGATGTGAACCAGCTATCCCCAAACAATATCCTCCAGATGTGGTGGATTACTGTTCCCATCAACCTCAGCCAGCTTGACCACTGGGCACATTTACTGGGCATGGTGAAAGCATCAGGCTGGGAATTATTGCAATGTGACAAAGTTATTGGCTTAATGTATTCTTGAAGGCTTTCACGGCCTGGATCCAATGGTTGTTGCAGATTTTTCCTTGCTGTTTGGCCATGTTCTTAAGGTTTTTCTTTCTAACGTTTTGCCAGTCTCCGTGTCCGTGTTACATTCCCAGAGGGTTTCAACAGGCAAAAGTCCAATAAGCCAGTCCAATATCAGAAGTCCAGAAAATGCAAAGCAGATACCAAAATGCCAAAGCCAAAACACAAACCATAGTCAGAAGTCAGAGTCCAAAGCCAAGGGTCCAGAAAACAAGGTCCAAGATAAGCAGGACCGTGGATGCAAGCCAGAGTGTTGACTTGTTGCTTCCACAAGCTTCCAAGCCTTCTAGGTGCAGATTATATAGCAAAACAGTCATCAAACTCCTAGAAGCCTTCCATCCTGTTAAAACTCAGGACTGGTTGACCTGATGTTCCTGTGGAAAGCATTCATGCGATCATCTGATCATCATGTCATGAGTCTTTGCTGAAGTTTAGCCCTCACCCTGGCTACTGGGAAAGGAGAATCTGGTGGTGATTCAGCTGTCTGTGCTTCTAATTGCCCAGCATTTTCCTCAGCTGTAATTAACCCCTCAGATTCCAGATCTTCTTCGGCTGAACTCATGGCAGTCCGGCATCTTCAGAGGACAGGAGTCAGAACCCTTTCCGTGCTCTGTTGCAGTTGAGTATTTATAGCTGCTTCAGAGGACAGGAGTCAGAACCCTTTCTGTGTTCTGTTGCAGTAGAGTATTTATAGCTGCCGGGACAGCTTTTGTCCTTTTCAGGAGATTGGGTGATTATGATGATCATTTTGTGTGGGTGTATTGTGATAAGGGTTGGGTGATTATGATGATCAGAGTGTTTTTTTGTGTGGGTGTATTGTGATAAGGGGGAGAGACAATCTGTCACTGTGATTGATGGGCGTTGTTAGCTGGTTTTGTGTGTGCAGTGATCACTGGTCCTTGTGGCTGGATAGGGTTTGCTGACCTTTTGCAGGCTGTATTTTTCAGTGCTGGGAGCCAGGCTTTGTTGAGTTTTAAACTTTCTTCTTTTTTGTTGAAGCTCTCCTGGTGTTTGTGGATTTCAATGGCTTCCCTGTGCAGTCTATCATAATGATTGTTGGTGTTGTCCAGTACTTCAGTATTTTGAAATAGAATTTCATGTCCAGCTTGTTTTAGGGCTTCAGCTACTGCTGATTTTTTCAGTATTTTAGTCTGCAGTGTCTCTCGTGTTCTTTGATTCTAGTGTGAATGCTGCATTCTGTGGTTCCAATATATACCTGTCCACAACTGCAAGGCATCCGATGTACTCCTGCAGTGGTGAGGGGGTCCCTTTTGGCCAAACAGCCCAGAAAACCCACAACAACCATTATTGGCTTAAATTCTGTTGTGCAGTTATGCAAACTGTGTGAGTTTTAGAAGCAATTTGTAGTAAACCAAGACATATCTGTTACATTATTCAGCTCAGTACAGCAAGTAATATCTATGGATATTTCTTAACTTATTGCAGTTTGGTGTTCACATAACTGTGCAAGAGGATTTCAGCCACTGATTTTTTAAAATGTTTTAATTCTATCCACTTCATATACCTACACAGCACCATTCATCAAATAGTAAAGAAATTTGTCCTAAATTTTTATTTCTTCTCTCTCTATTGGCCAGAATCCCATTGCTCATACAAGCCAGTATAAGTCAAGTGAAATAAACTGCTGTAGGTAATTGCTGCTAGTTAAGAAGTTGATGCTTGTATTTCTCACCGTGCACCAAATCATATGACCAATGTGCTGTAGGTAATTGCTGCTAGTTAAGAAGCTGATGCTTGTATTTCTCACCATGCACCAAATCATATGACCAGTGTGCAATTACTTACTTACTGACTGACTGACTGACTGACTGACTGACTGACTGATTGATTGATTGATTGATTGATTGATTGATCGATTTGTTTTGCTTTGCTTTGCTTTGCTTTGCTTTCTATAGCACCATCTGGCAGCCAAGGCCACTCTGGGTGGTTTACAGAAAATAACATAAAACAACAAAATAGCAAAATAGCAAACAACAGCATCAATACATAGGGGAGAAAATCAAAAATCATAAAGTGCAGTGAGGATAAAATTACAATGCAATAAATACAATTAAAAGCATAGAAAAATATAAAAACATGGAGCATGGCAGTATGATAGACATTATTTCTAGAGGTTGTTTTCCAGGCCTCTCTCGGGGTCAGAACTCTCAGCCGCCCTGCCTGCAACGATCTTATAGGACGGGCAGACCTAATTGGAAGGAGGCACTCGGCCAGAGAAGAAATACAAGTCTCAACTTCTTAACCAGCAGCAATTTGCTGCAGTGATTTGCACCATTTGCTTTTCCTAGCACCACTGTTTGGTGGCTTCCCAGCTTTTTGATGTGCCCCCTCTACATTCTACAAAGTAAAAACGCCCCCTTTACAAATTTGGTACTTACAAGAAGAGCTTTAAGCAAAAACATTGTGATATCTTTGGTCCCAAACATTTGCCTTTGAGCTTGCCTACCATTAAAATGTAGCCCTGAGACAATCTCCAAAGGTCAATGCAACCTCTTAGCTGAAAGAGGTTCCTACCCTTGCCTGATAAAGGTTTTGAGGCACCCCCCAATCAATATGTAATATGGCATTCAAGGAGAGCCTATCAGGTAACATGGATCTCTAGAAAGATAATGAAGTGGACTGAAGATCAAACTAAGCCTGACCTCTTAACAGAAGCTAAATCAACCAAACAGGACTATGGTACTTTTGGCATATAATGAAAAGACTCCCAAGAAAAGACAATAATCCTGGGAAAAGCTGAATGTTGTTCAAAAAACAAACAAACACCCTGAGCAAGAGATGGATTTACTTGATAAAGAAAGCTGGGGTCTTTTCAAGATCCAAGTAGGACTGCTAATGATAGGACCTTTTGGAAGTTATTAATGCATAGGGTAGCTATTGTCAGGAATGACAGCACATATCACATTGCAGATGAATGCCACATAGGGCTAACTTTGTAGTTCATCTTCCACTCCTAATTAAGAGCTACTTTAGTATAAGTCTTTAAATTTTCTGACCTTGACTGTAGCAGCACATATTATAATATAAAGTAACACTCTGTAATAGTAAACCAGTGTTTAATTATGCCTCAACATGTATCTACAAATTCAGCAGTTTCGGATGTCTTGATAGCTCTTTTGGCTTGTAACACAATGTTCCCCATGTTCTCTTAACCAACATCTAGCTGTTCTGAACTTCACCCATGTCCCTGAACATGCCATGTTAGTCCAATACAAACATTTCTGTACAAACAATCTTTCTGTGAGAGCCATCTCTAGCTATCATGAGACCACCAGCTTCTGTTTGCTGCTTTGTGTTTACTCTTCTTCTTGAAAAAGAGTTACATAGTTCAAGCCCCTCAGAGCTTCCTTTCAGATGAGGGCTCATCTGGGCTCAATACTTAAACCTTTTCTTGAATGCCAGGATGATTACAAAAGAAGGAATGCCTTTGAGCAAGCTCAGTGTGCTTTCCCATGACTATTGTATAACTATGGCTGGATTGGATATATTTGTGTCTGAGGGAGATCAGCTCCCAGTTCCACAGCTCCCCTGCTTCATCTGGAAAAAGCCAGGTCCTTGAGATCCAAAATCCCCAAACCAGACCCCCCCTTTCTGTGATTGTGGCCAGCACCCAAAAGGCTCTAAAATATCAGATTTCTAACAGCTTTGCATCTTCATTCCCATCAAGGAGGCAGTGTGTAAGTGGTAGTTTTTAGACTCCTCTCTCTGTGTATATTTTGTGTCAGACTGCAAAACAGACTGGCAGTGAAGGCATGTGCTCTTCCTCCTTCTCCTCCTCTTCCTCTTCTTCTTTCTTCCTGAGGAGAGACACATGGCCATCTTATACGCCTTGTGTTCTGACTGGGTTGCTCCTGGGAGGGTTGTTTTATGAGGGTAGCTGCTGTGTGATGGGTTGCCGTTCTGTAGTGGTGGCTGCTTTGCATTTGGCTGCTGAATGCTGCAGCACCCAATAGCATCTGGTATGAAAATACGTATGTTGGAAGGGGCTTTGGGGATAGTACTCATATAAGCACTTCACATTGTATTTGGTAGGCATTGCCTTCCATGCTGCTTGAATTAGTCAGTCTCTGACCAGTGACTCTCCAAGTTTGGTACATCATCTGTGGCATGCTCTTGAGCTGGCAGGGTCTGGATATTTCAGGAGGCAAGCACCTGCCCTCATTAGACCTCATTTTCAGCCTATTCCTCTTCATAACTTAGATGGATTGTGCTTCTCCAACTTACAGTGGCTCTGAAACTGGAGAGAGAAGCTATGGATTATGTTGGGGCATGGAGTCCACTGTCAGGATTGGAGATGCCTTCCTTACCTTTGCTGGCATTTCTCAATAGCCTTTTCTGAGCCATGGGGTTTCACTGTAAGTAGGGACATGATGAAATTTCAGCAGTCTTGCTAATGATCAAAACAAGTTGTCTCAACATGATAATACAGCCTTTGTGGATTCTCAATCACTACTCTCCATAAAAAGGTCTTGCCTCAAGAATATTCTACATGTAACAAGTGCTTTTTCCTCTCCATCATGGCTTGTGAAATTTGTGCCACATCCCTAGCATTCCCCCCCCCCCAGTGAAACTAAGAACACATAGACACAGCAAACACAAAAAATACAGGCTGAATCTGCAGAAATATGTTAGCAGCCTTAACCTATGCTACTACGTTTGAATAGTCCATGTAACAAGACAACATCTGTTGTAGCTATAAATTTTGCATATTTACAGAAATGGGTGAAAACTGATCTTGTAAATGCACTTCTCTTAGAGATGGGTGGGGTGGGGATATTTGTGGCCAGGATAATTTATACTCCACATCCTCATTTTAGTACACATGAACCAGATCAGGCATTACATCCCTAATTCTATGAGAATTCAATGATCAGGTCACCCAAGTCATGTATGGTTTGACCCTGAAAATACACCAAAAGGACTCCACAATAGGAGAAATTACTTATGTGCCTATAACCTTGTTTTTCTGAAAATGGCCTGAGAGACACACAAGGTTAGGCTGTCATGACACCTGGTGGACACTAAGTGAACATAAATAAGCTTCCCTTGGAGTACTGGTGACTTTCTTCTAGTGTCCCCATATGGGTGACAACAAGAATTGTAGAGATGACTGAGTGGCTTTGGGGGGGAATTCATTTTGTCTCACTATAATTTAACACACAGCTTTGTTGAGACAATGACCCATCTCCAGTTCATTGTGAAGGGTATAAAAGCAGCTTTCAAAAGAGTGTTAATAAATTTCCTAACAAAACTTAAAATTATATATATCTGATTAACCTGTGTAGTGTGTTACAGTTAATTAAACTGAGGCAACATGCAGAGCACTGAATGCAACTTGGCTTTATAAACTGAAGTATTCTCTTAGTCTGTGAGCAGAAACCCAATACGATCGCAAGGATTGTAGGTGGAATGAATGCTTTCCCTGCTGAATGGCCCTGGCAGGTCAGTTTACATGTGAAGCTCTCTACCCAAAGCCACATGTGTGGTGGCTCCATCATCCGTGACCAGTGGATCTTGACTGCTGCCCACTGCACAGAGGAGTAAGTAAAACCCTTCTACAATTACCACAAAGGATGGAGTGAAATATTTATTTATTTATTTATTTATTTATTTATTTATTTATTTATTTATTTATTTATTTTTTTATTTTATTTTATTTATATCCCGCCTATCTAACCACTTAAGGCCACTCTAGGCAGCTTACAGCAAGGATAATTACAATATAATTAAAATAATTTTAAGTAAGGGGAAAAACTTAGAAAAAGTGAAACGAAAATGAGGGGAGAAAAAAAACACAACAACAACAAAAAAGGAAAGGTCAGGAATTGGCTGAGGGGAAGGCCTGCCGGAACATCAGTGTTTTTAATTGATTTTTAAAAGCACCCAGTGAGGGAGCTGCGCGAATGTCAGGGGGAAGGTTATTCCAGAGGTGAGGAACCACCGCCGAGAAGGCCCTATTTCTTGTCTTTTCTTTCCGGGCCTCCCTCGGCGTTAGGCTCCTCAGCCTCACCTCCTGAAATATAGAAATAGAAAAGAAATATGAACCTTGAAAATAGGAGTACTAGCAAAATCCGGCTACTATCTGCCTGTGCAGTGAGAATTACAGTCTCAGAGCTGGCAAATTGCCATTAATTAAAGAGTTCCTTTTAGTTCCTGCTTTGATTTTGGAGTGCATGCCACTTAATCTCTTTGGGCAAAAGTGAGAATTACAGCCTGTGTACCCTCAAATCAGAGCAGGAAGTCTTTAGTCAACAGCACCATTGCTACTGAATGGACAGAGCTCTGCAGAGTGTACTGGCCTCAGGCCAGTATAAGGAACTGCGTAGGTGCTTCCAGGACTGGTAGCTGAACCCTTGAAGGCTGTTCTAGAAATGATACATAGGAAGCATCTTTATGCTGAGTTCCTCTGGCTTACTAAGGCCCAAACAGATCATCAATGGCTCTCCCATGGGCTGAATCTGGGTTTGTATAAAAAGGGATGATCCTTATTATCGAGCAATGCTCCTGCCCCGAAGTGTGGAGAAGAAGAAGCCTGTTCTCTAGGTATATAATGCACCTTTTTTCAACATTGACCATGTTGTAGTGAATTGCTAAAGGCTGCATGATATAGCTGTATCGCTAGGGGTGAGTAAGTCTTACTTAAGCTCAGTTTCTGGGAAGAAACGCTTTAGGAAGCCAGGTGACAGCAAGAGCAAGGGGGAACTGTAACAAACAAAAGTAAGTGCAGTCTTTGCTTCAGATATGCACTGTTTGTTTACATCTAGAACAGAGTATTTGAAAAAGGTTGCCCTGTTCCTGGTTTTAATTGTCATAGTTTACAAAAAGAGGGACATGGTGGCGCTGCAGGCTAAACCGCAGAAGCCTTTGTGTGCTGCAGGGTCAGAAGACCAGCAGTCGTAAGATCGAATCCACAGGACGGAGTGAGCTCCCGTCCCTTTGTCCCAGCTCCTCGCCAACCTAGCAGTTCGAAAGCATGCAAATGCGAGTAGATAAATAGGTACCATCTTGGTGGGAAGGTAAACAGTGTTCCGTGTATAGCCGCGCTGGTCACATGACCACGGAAACTGTCTTCGGACAAATGCTGGCTCTACGGCTTGGAAACAGGGATGAGCAGCGCCTCCTAGAGTCAGACACGACTGACTAAATGTCAAGGGGAACTTTTACCTTTACCTAGTTTACAAAATGTTCAAGCTCTGTGGGTTGCCTAGTTGGCCACTGTGAGATAATAGATTATATTGACCCTTACTGACCTGATGTTCAGCAGATATACTGTACAGTATGGGCCAAGGGGATGTTGGATAGTGATGTTGTGGAGTTATAGAAAGATATGGAACAAAGCTTGGAAAAGAATTTTTTTTACTACAGCTCCGAGAATTCTCCAGCTATCACAGCCACTGGACATGCTGCCTAGGAGATCGTAGCAGCTGTAGTCCAAATGGATAACTTTTCCAAGATCTGATGTGTAGGACGCCAGGTTGAGTGAAGTTGGATGGATAGAGACTTGGTCTGTCCAGCACAGCTCTCATGCTTTCTGTTTTTATGAGAAGATGGAAAGAACTTATAGAGGCAATGACAAAGAAACTAAATGGTAGAAATCATTTCAGATATTATAGGGTGCAAGATTCATGAGCCAAAACTACTAGCGGTAAGAATTACTTGCTATACAAATGCCAATGATTAAAATACAAGAGACAAGAAATATCTGCATGCATGTTTTAATTGGCTGATCAGGTAGTTTGCATGGGTAAATGGAGAACAGACTCACACTCCAGTATTTCATTTTGGTTTTCTTTGTTTCTCCATTTAGCCTTTTGATAACTCAAGTTTGGCGTATTTATAGTGGCATTTTGAAACAGTCAGAAATAAATGAAAATACCCCTGTCTTCAAAGTCCAAGAGATTATTGTTCATCCTAAATATGTAGCTTCTGAACAGGGATATGACATCGCCTTAATGAAACTTGACAGACCTATGAACTTTAGTGGTATGTATGTTTCTGCGTATTTCAAAAATCCTTACTGTTGTCTCTCTCTCTCTCTAAAATTAATGCACATTGACCAACTTTAATTAACTGTTTTTCTGTCCAAGAGGGGAGGGATAACAGGTTGAAATGCTAATAGGTATATGATGTATTTTAAAATAAAAACTTTGCTATCACTATCTAATCCTTTCAAATGGATATTTAGCTTTACATCAACCTTTATGCCTGCCAAGTGAAGAAGAAATAAACACAAAATATGACGAATGCTGGGTGACTGGATGGGGTTACACAAAAGAGACAGGTATAAAAATTTTAAATGTAGACATAATACCCATCTTCACAAATGATAAATTTGTACATGAATGTTTTAACTAGAAGAGGAGTTCTATCCCACATTAGCTATTTGTTGATTCACAGATTGTCTTGGATGAAGGAGAACTTACCATATATACTCAAGTATAAGCCAACCCAAACATAAGCCAAGGCACCCAATTTTACCACAAAAAAACTGGGAAAATGTATTGACTCGAATATAAGCTGAGGGTGGAAAATGCAGCAGCTACTGGTAAATTTCAAAAATAAAAATAGATACCAATAGAATTACATTATTTGAGGCATCAGTAGGTTAAATGTTTTTGAAGATACTGCCCTTCTGAGCTGTGAGACACACTTCACTGTCTGCGGAGGGAGGACTCATACCGGATGCTGCACTTATCTACTCCTCTACTGTTACATAACAAGATGGAAGGAGACGGAGGAGGAAGGTGGGTACATAGAATATGCAGAAGGAAGAGGATGGGAGTGTCCTGGAAGCGGAAATGCAATGTACTTAACCTGGGTCATCGGACCACCCACAGAGGTTTCAAGTGCCGTAGATGAATGAGGGAGTCCGGAGAACACCTGCACTGCAGGGGAGAACATGTAATTTTGACACTCGAGTATAAGCCGAGGGGGGTGATTTTTCATAAAAAATGGTGCTGAAAAACTAGGCTTATACTTGAGTATATACAGTACTTCACCAGTGCAATTACCTACCAGTTTTGTTGCTCTGGATGGAGCATGTCACTTGCAGGTAGAAGATCTCAGGTTCAACTCATAGCATCTCCACATAGTGCTAGAAAACAATTCTGAACCCCTGCCTAGATGAATGGTCTAACTTGATTCAAGGCAATTACTTATGCTCCTAGTCTCCTTTCCTTGGAAACTGCAGAAACCCGCACATGCTTGATGACAATTCCACAAAAACACCACAAAAACCACACTCAAGGCTCTAAACACAAATTCCAGAACCAGTGGCCTGGTAATGATTTAATGTTAGGGACATGAGCTTCCAGTTGTGATGCAGAGTCTTCCACTCTCCTCCTCTGCCATGGCCACAAAGAACGGACTGGAAAACATCCACTTCTGCTTTTAAACCAGGGGTCTGAAACCATATATGGGCAAAACTCAGATGGTTTCCCCAATATTCACACACTGAGTTATGGAAGGTAGGGGTTTAAATCTAGACACTGCTCAGCCCCACACCTCTCAATAGGATTTCTGCCCTTTTCCCTTCTCTACCTGAAGGATTTCCCGGAAGGCAAAATGCCATCACTTTCTTTCTTTAAAATCCTGTGCGTGATTCTGTAAATTCTGGACAAGCATTGATGCTGTCCTCCACAGGATGCATCCTTAGGCTTGCCTATTAGTGTTTAGGGAGAGCTACCATACTGCTAAAGGCAGGTTAATAATAATACTCTAACAGTTACCAGATTGTCCTTGATGATTGGTCATTATGAGCCATTACATGATCATTCAGAGCTCAGCCCCACACCTCTCAATAGGATTTTCTGCCCTTTCCCCTTCTCTACCATGACATGATCATTCACAACAGAACAGCAATCAATCAAGAATGTGATGATTACCATCTTGCTAAAGCAAACCTACCTGCATAAAAATCATGGATCTCCTCCTTTCCCATGATTCTTCTTGGATCATGGAATTAACTTTGTTATGATGTTATATTATTACATTATATAAGAGTGCATTTGGAATTTATGATGATGTTAGTTGTCTGCCCTGCCTTCTGGGTTTCACAACAGAAGCATTTGCTGAAGTCAACCACAATTATTTATTATTACACCTGTGTCATGTTCCGTCCTTTAATTTCAAAGCCTATTAATGAACTGGAAAATGAGAAATAATACCTAGGTTTTAAACACTTAGTCACCTACTCAGAAAGGAAGAAAGAGGAGCTAAGATTTCCTGCACAAAATGTTTGTAAACCTACAAAGGAAAGACAATAGTGCCTGTCCTGAAGAGTGCTATTAATGCATTCATAAGAAGCATTATCACATGCAAGTGCAAGCAAACCCAGGATTTTTACATGAGTTAGGTTTGCCTCTGCAAGATGATGGCCATCACAGTCTTGATAATGTCACATTCTGTTGCCCAAGTAACTGTTCGTAAAAATAATACCTAGGTTTTAAACACTTAGTCACCTACTCAGAAAGGAAGAAAGAGGAGCTAAGATTTCCTGCACAAAATGTTTGTAAACCTACACAGGAAAGACAATAGTGCCTGTCCTGAAGAGTGCTATTTGTATACATATAATACATTCATAAGAAGCATTATCACATGCAAGTGTAAGCAAGCCCAGGAATTTTACATGAGTTAGGTTTGCCTCTGCAAGACAATGGCCATTACAGTCTTGATAATTTCACATTCTGTTGGCCAAGTAACTGTTTGTAATGGCTGGTGTTCAAGGGCAATCTTTCACAGCCTTCAGAAGCCAAGTAGAAGTCAACCTGTGCTTTCCTGTACCATCTACACTTTCATGTTTAAATGTACAGTGGAATATCTCATAGTATTTTCTACATATTTTTTTCTCAGGACTAATTTGGTACTCTTAGGTTCCTGAAACTGATTAAGATAGCCAACATAATAACCAAAATCAATAAAGAGAAGAGAAATCCTATGGGGCAGGCTTTTAAGGTTCACAGAAACAGGGGTTGCAACAGTTATTTTTAAAAGCACCCTACACCTGGGTATTCTGGAAGCTGTAATTCAAAATGGAACTTTTCTGAGTTCCAAAGAGGAGCCTTCCATTGGTTCTCGTAGCACCACAGTGTGTTCTGGCACATAGTTAGGGAATTACTGATCTTCCATATTGCTGAGATGTCCACCTCTTCCCTTTGGGTTCTATTTCTATCATATATTAGGTCAAATAGAAGACACCCTACAGAAGGTTAAAATTCCCCTGATATCAAATGAAGAATGTCAGAACCAATACCAAGACTACAGAATAACAGAGAAGATGTTATGTGCTGGCTACGCAGAAGGTGCAAAGGATGCTTGTAAGGTAGTACTGTAGCCTCTTATGTGTTACCTAGCAGGCAGAGCTGGCCCAAGCATTAGTCAGAATGAGGCAGCATCTCAGATGGCAGGTGCTGAGTGGAGGCAGCAAGATATTTCAGAGGAGTTGTGTACTGTGCAGCTTGGTCTATACTCCTTTAAGATAACCATCTAAGACAGTGGAATATTTATTCAAAATATTTTTATGCTGCCTTTCTCCTTGCAAAGAACCCAAGGCAGCTTACATCATTGAAAGACAATATTTAAAGCTGAAAACAGTGAGAATACAATAGTGGTTTACATCATTAGAAGACAATGTTTAAAGCTAAAACAATAAGTATACAAATATTAAAAAGTAACAAACAAGTATTACTCTGAGAGGTGGTTAACACATGTAGTACAACCCAATCAGAGCAGTAATGCACAACAAGCCATCTAAAAGTCACACTCATGTAGCCAGTCACTGAGGGAAAGCTTGCCTGAAGAGAAAGGTCTTTGCCTGCTGGCAGAAAGACAGCAAGGATGGGGGTCAGTCTGGCCTCCTGTGGGAGGGAGTTCCAAAGGGGAGCAGCAACAGAGAAGGCCCTTTCCTGTGTTTCCATCAGAGCATCTGTGAAGGTGGTCGGACCACAAAAAAAGGCCTCTCCTGATTATCTTAACACTCAAGCTGGCTCATAATGGGAGACATGGTTTTTGAGATAGCTTGGACTCAGGCCAATTGGGGCTTTATAGGTTAAAAGCAGCACTTTGAATTGTGCCTGGAAACTGATTAGCAGCCAGTTGAGCCAGGAAAGGTTATGTGATCCCTGTAACCAACCCCAGTCAGCAATCTGGCTGCTGCATATGTTGTTCTACCATAGAAGAACTTTGAAGAAAAGTTCAACTTCCAGTTCAGCTAGGTTTTGCATATGTAATGAGCTCATTTTCATACCAGCATAATAACACCTATGCACACTAACTTTAACACTAATTTTGAAAAAAGATCCTGGGAAATGTAGATAGGAGGAATCTGAAAATGTCAAAATTATCACCCACTGCAATTCCCATCATTTTAAATATTAGTTTTTTTTTTAAATGCACACCCCTATTTAGCTTTGGGTTCTTCAGTGGAATTGTGACTTGTACAATCTTGAGCTAACCTGGTCACCTTTGACGACTTTCAGGAAGCCATTGCTACCATTATATACAGCTGGATTATGCTTGCATTAATCTTTAAAGACTGAAAGGGACAGAAAGGCCCACAATTGGTTTAGCACAGTGGATAGAGTTTTCAGCTTAGACTGGGTAGGCCTGAGTTTGTATCCTCTCCCATGTATTAAGCTTTCAAGGTGATCCTGGCCTACCACTACTTCTCAGCTTCTCAAGAGTCTTTATAAGAGTCTTCTCTGAGATCTTAGCTTGGACAATAGATTAATAAGAGGTACTATTAGCAACTGTAAAGAAATAAACAGAGTTTCAAGTACGTTGGATGGGCAATTGTTTCTCCTCGCTGCTTCCCTAACTAATAATGTACAGCCCAAGCATGTTTTAGTAGACAGAGATCAGTTGTTGCTTTTGCACAGGTAGGGGCTTGGGGGTCTAGTCTCCAGTTTGGGATCCCAGATCGCTATCCTATAAGCTGCTGTCTTACTGTAGCAGCATGTGAAATGACAAAGGAAGAAAGATTGCTCCAACTGGCTGCCAAAATTTTCTTGTAGTTATATTAGATAAACGAGACCTCAAATTAAACATTGCTATGTCTCTTCTGCAGTACTATTAGCAACTGTAAAGAAATAAACACAGTTTCAAGTATGTTGGATGGGCAATTGTTTCTCCTCACTGCTTCCCTAACTAATAATGTACAGCGCAAGCATGTTTTAGTAGACAGAGGTCAGTTGCTGCTTTTGCACAAGTAGGGGTTTGGGGTCTAGTATCCAGTTTGGGGTCTAGTCTCCACTGGGATCCCAAATTTCTATCCTATAAGCTGCTGTCTTACTGTAGCAGCATGTGCAATGACGAAGGAAGAAAGATTGCTGCCAAAATTTTCTTGTAGTTATATTAGATAAACAAGACCTCAAATTAAACATTGTTATGTCTCTTCTGCAGTTTGATTATATATTTGGTAACAAGGGTCAGTTCTGGATTTCTTTACTTTAATCCTTAAAATGGCACATCACAACATTGGATGTTATGTTAACTTGTTATGGCTGTTTTCCACAATTCTAGGCAATACTTTGATGTTTATCCAAGATCAACAAATTAAATTGTTCGAATGATTTAATATCAACATGGTGTGGCTGTAAAGTTTCCAACTTTTGACTGCAATTATACACGTTCTTTTCTTTCTTATTTTAGGGAGATTCAGGTGGCCCTCTGTCGTGTAAATACCAGAACAAGTGGTACTTGGCGGGCATTACCAGCTGGGGTGAGGGATGTGCTCGCCCAGGACAACCGGGAGTTTATACAAATGTGGCTGAGTTTGTAGGTTGGATTCTAGAGAATACCTTATAGCTAAATATCAAAGGATAGACAAATGAGTCTATTTTCACTCTGGTCACTTTTGCATGTGTTCATTCATGTGTCTTTTTCATTTCATTTTTTGTTATAAACATTGAATCATAACTGTAGAATTTATAGCATTTGAAAGGACCCTAAGAGTAGTCAATTGACTAGATGGGCAGGGTATAAATAAATAAATAAATAAATAAATAAATAAATAAATAAATAAATAAATAAATAAATAAATAAATAAAGAGTAAACAACTCCAAACCTCTGCAGAATCAGGAAGTCCACACCTAAAGCATCTGACAGATCAGCCATTCAACCTTCTTCCAAAGACCTCCAATGAAGGAGAGTCAATTGTTATCAAATACCTGCTGCTGTCAGGAATGTATTTGTTATGATTCCTTAGATTGTCCTTTCTTATAAGTTAGATTCATTGGTTTGGATCCTGCTCACACCATCTTCTCTGTAAAAACTCTTCAGAATTCTAAAGATGGCTATAATATTTTGTCTCAGTCTTCTGTTCTTCAGGGTATATATGCCCTCAATAATTCCTCACAGGACTGGTTTCAATACTTTTGAATGCATTTTGTCCTCAAACACCTGTCACATGTTGATAGGAGAACAACATCACCGGCATTCACGTAAGTGCAGAATCCAAAGGATAATTACATTCTCATTTGCTCATTAGTCCAGAAGGTGCAAGTCAAGCCAATTCACATCAGAGTTTTTGAAAGCTGAACATTTTTTCTAGTGCCCTAACATTTTCAGAAGATGAAGGCAGACAGTTCTCATTTTCTCTGTGAAATATCTTAAAGGTTCTGAGACCCTTTTAATTTTAACCAGGGCTACAAGTAATCTGAAATTATTGAAATACCACATGGTAAAAATCCAATTAAAATATTCAACCTCAATCTTTGCTTCTAGTCTATTGAGGTACTGTATATGTTTTTATCTGTGGACACAACAGAGGGAAAGGATTTTTGAGCCAATTGAAATCAATGCATTTTAATATTAAACATGTTTACTCAAAACTAGTCCCACTAAGTTCAGATGCACATATTCAAATAACTGCTATCCATGCTTAGGTACACTTAAGCATATTGATTTTAGCAAATCCGAATTGGCTCCAAATAGGATTGCAACCATATGCATCAATTTGGTGTTAACGAAACCTTGATTTAACTATAATTTAGATATACTGAAGAACAAATTAGGCTTCAAGGGAAATGTATCTTTCCTGGGATTGGCCCATTTCCCCCTCCCATAATGCAATTTCCTCAGAGATACAAGCCTGAGCAATCAGATTTGCAAATGAATATTGTGTTTACTTGCCACTGGCCAATCACAGAACAAAGCAGGCTGGCATGCAAAACACAGATGACGAAAATAATGTTCTGTGGCAAACATGGAAGCACTGGTTCTAAATACCAGATATGCATATTAGCACATCTAGTTTGAAATTCTCCTGGATTGTTTTATATTCCTAACTAGAAGGAGACATTTTTCTTGAACAGCTCAGCTACTTGGTCTAACATAACAATTTTTAAATTTAACTTACTGCAGCAACAGAAGGAATGAAAACAACAACTATGTACTAGCTCATTTGAAAAATAACTAATCATCAAAATGAAAGACTTACAAATTTTTCTGTTTTTAAAAAAGGATTTCTCTGGTTAAAACTTGAGCAAAGCAATGGCTGTCCTTTTATTTTTGTCTTCTGGCAGTTTGACATTTATTGGTGATTTATGGGCTGTGTGGCTGAAGGTGATAAATAGATCCATTTGTAGAATGGGTTGTGGGATAATTTTATCAAAGTAATTGTCCCAGAATTGACAGAACACATGGGTGAAGAATTGTATTTCCCCAGTTTAAAAAGTGGTATTGGGGGAAAGTGATGGACCCACATGGGAAGCTGATCTTCAGAAGAAAATACAGTAGTGTAAGAAATATGAAGAGATGATCAAGCGGAAAAATCAAATGAGTCAATGTTGAGTATGTAAGAGTAAATTGATCTTCTGTTCAGAAAAAGTCTATTAATAGCAGACTAGAATTACAAAATAAAGAAGTCCTTCTTTTTCATTGTTGAGCTTTCTTTGGAACATTCTGCAATGATAGCAAGACTGGAGGTCACTTGCCTTTGGCAATGATCTCACTAGGATGTTGATTGAACCACTGATGTCTTCAGTCACAACCCCTGCAGTTTTTCTTTGCCAAAACATACTGAAATGTGCTGATCTGTGTTTTTTGTTGTTGTGCTGAGAAGAAACTTGCCAAGTCTTATCTCCAAAACACTGATATTGTTCCCCAAAAGTATTTCACAGTGCAGTCAACTGACAAGAGGTATGTTTTACTGTCAGTGTGACAGCTAACATTGTCACTTAGAAATAAAAATAAGTGATAACACCAGCTGGGAAGAAAATTTTGTGTGCCTGTATGTGTGTGTGTGTGTATGTGAGAGAGTGAGTGAGTGAGATAGATGAAATTTATATATATGACACAACTGTGTTTGCTCACTGGCCTTAAAATTCTATCATCTCTTGCCTAGTCTTGTATGACACCAGAGCAAGTCGGAAATAGTGAGATATTTTCTTCCATGATCATGTTATTGTTAGGGTTGTCAGTTCTTCAAATGGTCACTATAGCTATGCCTTTACTAGGACATGATGTACCAATATTAGCAAAGGATAATGTATCAGACTTCTGTTAAAGCACCAAGAATAGGCAGGGGCATGTTCACCGAGTCAGTTGATAACCCAGCAGATAGCCCAGTTTGTTTTATCCTATTAAAACAATCAAGGAGGAAGCCCAGAGTATATAGAAACTATATTTGATTTATAGTAGAATAGCAGATTTTATTTTATTTTATTTTATATTTTTACTTTTGCCAACATGCTGAGACAGACTAACTGGCTACTTCTTTGGAAATAGCACTAAGGAATAAAGCTTGTTCATGTTTGCCTAGTATTATATCTGAATCATATTAAAGGGCAGCAAAAGGGAGTATATGTTTTGTTCATGCAAGCCTGTTGTCAGTAGATGGTGCTTTTGCTCTGATCATTTATAGTTTTACATTTTTTAAAAAAATATTTATTTGCAATTTTGCTACAAAACAAAGGAAAGGAAAAATGCCTTCTAATCTTAACCTTGACACCCAATATTTGATGAACATTATTGGTATCTGCTACTACAAACAAGTTGACAAGCTCTGCAGATTTTGTATTTGTACAGAACACAACTCAGGCTAATGATTACTATGCATAGAAAACCAAGCTTATTCAAGATGGTGGCACTTTGCTCATTCCCCTGCACCCAGTCATCTCGTCTCTCCCTTCTTCCTTCTCTCTCTTTCTCTCTCTTGGGAAAATCTTCTAGACAGCTTTTGCCATTTTGAACTGACAGAACTTCATTCAGATTCTACAACAAAGGGACAAACTGAGAATCCTTACCTCACTACCACCTGTTGTCAAGCTTGGCTCAATTTAACATCGCAAACATCCCTTCAGAAGTGTACATCTGCAGAAAACATAATCCCACTGGGTTCTCTCCAACTCCTGTGTGTAGTCATAGGTGCATGGGCACACACATACATGTGCCAGCATATATATATATATATTGAATAACTTGCAATATAGAAACCAGGTCTGGATACAGTAATAGATCTCCGGGTTATTTGCAGAAGGTTGGCAATGATCTCTCTCTTTTTAAGCATTTAACAGTGGCACCATTCCCTAAATCTTACTGCTAAAATTAAGAAGTGAAATGAATAAATGAAATGAGGTAATTAAGAGATGATCTTTAAATGGAAAGGCTGTGACCTTATTTCAGCTGCAGTATTCAAAACACCCCCTTCTTGGATGCACACCTTAACACAGTGAAGGGTTTTAAGTGTGTCAATGCTGTCAGTAGGCTAGAGTCTATAATAAGCCTCAACTCCTAGCAGAGTCACCCAGGTCAGAATGGGCATAGCTGAGACACCAGACTAAGATGGTTTTACCTTTTTTCAAGGCAGCTGCTAAGCAGCAGTGGTAGCTGAAGGCGACACTGGCAGCGGAGGCAATGGTGGTGATGCTCAAGCTTCTTTGTTAGCACTGTTCAGGAGGTGGCAGTGGTAAAACCCAGCTGAACTTTCTCTACCATGCAAACCCTAAGATGAGACAGTCCAAAATGAAACAAGATATAATGCTGGAAGGTGAGATTCTTAGATTGGAAAGCATTCAATCAGCTATTGGGGAAGAGCAAAAGACAAGCATGAATAACACTGTCATTAATGACGCAACTCAGTTGAAGCTGAAAGAGTGTCTAGTGGCTGTTGTGCACAGTAGTGAAAGGAAATTGTGATGCAGCACAACAAATACAATTGGAACATGGAACATGAGAAGTATGAATCCAAGTAAACTGGAAACTATACAATTTGCTTTAGACTGGTGGCAGAAACCATTCAGAAGTGAGAAATACTGGGGGCTTTGTGAGCTGGTCATATATAAAGACTTAAGTGTGCAGAAGGGTCAGTGTTCAGTCTCCAACCCACTAATTCTACTTCCCCCTTAGACAGGAATGGAGGCAGCCCATCTGCACCTACAACTTTCCCATGCCAATCCTAGTTTAAATAAAATGGAAGGAAGCAGGATTTGCCACTCCTAGATGTCTCCAGGAGTCAAACTCCTTTAAAGTAATGCCCATTCCCTGCACTTTATTTTGTCTACACACCTCTGAAAATGTGGGTTTTAAGAAATATGGACATGCCAGGTTTGTTTTGGGTGGCCAACGAGACCCATGAGATACCCAGTGTGGTGCAGTGGATAGAGTGACAGGCTAGGATTCAGGAGGCCTGGGTTCAAATCAGCTATGGAAGCTAATTGGGGATGTGGGACTGGTAAAGACACTACTTTTTTTCGGGCTCTTTGGCCGTGTTCTGAAGGTTGTTCTTCCAAACGTTTCGCCAGTCTCTGTGGCCAGCATCTTCAGAGGACAGCACAACTACACCAGAGCACAGAGTGCTGTCCTCTGAAGATGTCAGCCACAGGGACTGGCGAAACGTTAGGAAGAACAACCTTCAGAACACGGCCAAAGAGCCCGAAAAACCCAGAACAACCATTAGATCCCGGCCGTGAAAGCCTTCGCGGATACACTACTTAAATATCTCATCTTGAAAGCCCTATTAGGGTCACTATACGTTGGTGTTCTGGCATGTACCATAAGTGGATCCAGCAGCTGGATATTGTACTCCTGGAGGTGATCCACCACTGGCCAAGAAGAATCCTTGCTGCATTTTTAGCGCTCTGCCAGTGAGCAGTATATTATATCTCAGTTACAAATGCCTGTATAAAACCTGAACCCAGTAGACAAGCTCAGACATGCCAATGTAGGTCTCAAATTAGAGGCTTCCTGGTTGGCAAGTAGAATCTAATCCAGTGAATTACTCGATGCATGAGGAAGTCTTCATGAAACCTCTCTGGTTTTACAATGCTAATTTGTACTAAAAGATAACTATTCCTGGTTGGTCTGCAACACAGAAATCTGGATTGAAGAAGCCAGAGGAAAGTACATTCTGTACTTGTCAAAATACATTCTGCGCTTGTTTCATTAATTTGAACAAAATCAATCCAAAACACCTGCCACTGTTTTAATTATTTACCTTTGTAATCCTTTATAAAATAACACCTGGGATTCAAAGAGCTGCTGCAGAATACAATGGTGAGATTTTAAAAAGCTGTTATGCTCAGTTTTCCTCTGGGTTGCCTGTGTGCTTGGGCATGTCCCTGTGCTTCAATGGAAGACAACCATCCCGAGGATGTGATGAGTAGCGATTTGTCATCTGGAATTTTTGGACTATAAACCCCATAATTCCCCATTCTGGGAGTTCTACTTGACAAACATTTAAATGTGGCTCACCTGGGAGAAAGACCTTAATTTGAATACTATGCTGTCTAGCTAAGATTAGCTTTACACAAGCTTCATGTTCTACCTGGGAGCTTCCTTTCTGAACAGCCCCATTTAGGAGCCTGTAGGTATTTGCCTAATAGACGGAGCTCCTAGAATGGAGAATTATGGGATTTGTAGTTCTAAAAAATGCAAAATGGCATGTTGTTATTGATAAGTACTAAAAAAAGCTTGTTCTTGATTTTGTGATTTTCTATATTTCAACATGCTGCTAGTTCATAATAAATCTTCCTTCTGTCAATGAGATTTCCTTGCTTCCTGCAAAAACAAGACCTTAAGTTTTTTATTTTGTTTTCCCCCTAACAGTATGAATTGCTGTTATGGAAGACCAGTCCAAAGTTTCCTTACAGTACATCTGTCGCTTGGACTGATGCCTCAACCTCTAGAAAAGGCTGTTTAAAAAAAGGGACCAAGATTTATAATGTTGACATGTTTCAACACTATGATATTAAAACTATGTTATTGTGGCATAGGAAATCAGTCTGTGAACAAAGCACTTGTTAAAGCACATTCTGTTTAATATGGGTGTAGTGAACACAGTTAAACTATTACCTTGTGTTCCTTGTTTCCCACAAAAATTGGTGAATGTTTTAAAAATGTTATTTGCACAAAATGGCTTGGCTTTAAAATTGGTTTGCCTTTTTTTTTTTACTCCAGTGAATTGCTTTTTTCTCTTTCTCAGTAAAGACGCTACTTGCCTCACCCATTCAGACAGCTTTTCTTAAAGACAGGTCAAACTTTATTGCACTAAATTCCCTTTGAGGCAATTTTCATTTCACAGAAATTGCTGAAATAAGAGCTATAGGAACCCTGAAGAACTGAGGAAAGGGTGAGAGAGACAGAAGTAGCAGCTTTAGTCTAAATCACACGTTCATTTCTTGTTGAGACACCACTGCCAGTGAAGACTTGTCTGACTTTTCCAGTTATGCTAGATTTGTTTCTATCATTTTGTTTGGCTGAAATCCAGTAGTAAGTCACAACTAGAGTAGGTCCATTGGATCAGTGGTGATCAGGTGAATCAGTACCTATGTATGTAAGGTCCACTGATTCAATGTGCCTCCTCTTGTTACAACTTACCACTGGATTTCAGCCAATACTAAGTAGTTTTTTTAATCATCTGAGCAATTCTGCACCCCTGG